CAAGTTCACAACTGTTCTTGCGGAGTTAGTGTATGTGCGCATCATGAATGACGGTTTTGCACAAGTGACTTATAACAACCAACGGCAACTCGCAACTATAGTTGCGAAGATAACGCGTCGAGTTATAAGTCAACTTCCGCCGAGTTATAACCCGTGCAACTACTTATAACTTTTCGAAAACTTATATGTTGGGCATGGGCAATTACATTCGTTATATCAATGTTTGTAGTGGTTATAAAAATATTTCACATGGTTATAAGAATGGTTAATGTGGTTACATAAGTCATTAAGTCGCCCCGCCCGCTAAGTACACTGCTTCTCCGCCGACGCGTCTCTCGAGAAGGTGCAGGCGGAGAGCGGGCCTCAGGAGCCATCAGTTGCGTGAGTTCGGGGAGGTTTGGACGGGCCTCAATTGGTTATATTTCCGAGCTTCGAGCCCTCTCGTTCGCCAAGAGGTGGTGAGCGAGATTCACGATTTTGTCGCGGGACGAGTTGCCCAACAGCCGCCTGTGCCGCCTTGTTTGGATATGGAGGGGGCCGTGCGCGAGCTCCTCCAGGCCAAGTGCGGTTATGACCACGCAGCTTCCACGGTCGTCGAGTTCGATCGAGCCCTCGTCTCTCTGCCCGAAGGAGCCCAGGACAGGACGTTGCTTCAGGACTTGGTTTCTCATGAGGACAGGGAGGCGGTGGTGAACTTTAGGGGGGGGGGGGGGGGGGGGGGGGGCATGATGAGAGATGTGAAGGAAGTGATGCAAATGAGAGACTACGGCGAGTCTATTAACCCGTTTTTTGACCAGAAGTTTCGCACTCGACGGCACGAGTACGTTCGCTTTCTGAAGATGTTGCACGGTCGTGGTCTCATCAGGTGGTCGACTACGCCCAAAGAGATCGCCACCCAGTTCTTTGTTCGAAAAAAGGATGGAAGACAGCGGCTTATCATCGATGCGATACGCACTAACCAGCTTTTCCGAGATCCTCCTAGTACTCTGCTGGCCACGCCCGAGAGTTTCGCCCGCCTGGAGGTGGAGGGGGGTGTTGAGCTTTTTGAGGCATAACTGCTTCCACAGAATCGGTATAGACAGCGACTTGGGCGATCGTTTGTTGCCTACCCCCCGCTCGCGCACGAGAGCTAGGTCTGGCACATGTTCGGGGGCGGGAGGTTCCTGGAGACGGGCTTGCGTGGGCCGCCATGGCTATGCTCCCCATGGGCTTCTCTTGGTCGGTCTTCTGGGCCCAGCGCATCAATGCTCGCCTGGTTCGGGAGGCCCCTGGGATGGGGGGCTCTGTGGCGGTGGAGGACAGGGGGGGCGGGCTCATCATAAGTAAGGACTCCGCGCCCGTCTTTTACGCGCATGTGGACAACGCGGGGGTCTTGGGAGCGGACAAGATTGAGGTCCAGAAGTCGCTTGATAACATCATACACGTTCTTAACGCTAACAAAGTGCAGCGTCACGAAGTCCAGGATGCTGGCCAGGTCCGGGACGCCCTTGGGATCGAGTTCAACGGGGACCTAACGTGTTTCAGGCCTGCGGGGGAGCGGCACTGGAAGATTCGTTGGACTCTGGAGGCTTTCTTGGAGGCGCCCAAGGTAACTGGAAAGGCCCTCGCGGTTCTTCTGGGCCACTGCACCTACCTCGTTATGCTTCAGCGTCCTCTCCTCTCCTGCTTCGCCTCGGTCTACAAGTTCGCTCGGCGGTGCCGTCACTCGTGGGCTCCATTGTGGCCAACAGCGCGTGAGGAGCTCGAGTCTTCCCTTTACCTCATGCCTCTTATCCGTTCTGACTGGTCCCGCTGCTGGCTTGGAGAAGTGTTGACGTATGACTCCTGCCCTGAGGGTGCGGGGGCTTGTGTTGCTACTAGATCTCCTGCCTGGGCGGCCGCTCAGGGAGAGCCCAAGAGAGAGCTAGATTTGTTCGTCGGGATGCTGCGCAGGCTCGTGGGCATGCGCTTTCTTGCCTCGACCCTGATGACCCCCTGGTGTTTGTGACGCCGCCGCCGTCGTTCGAGGGCGTCTCGGAGCTTTGGGAGCAAGACTTGTCGTTTCCCGAGGTTCCGCTCGAGGGGCTTGTGGGAAAAGACTGGGAAGTGCTATTCTGCCATTCCTGGAGGAGAACGATGACTGTACATGAGGGGGAAGCCAGAGCTGGAGTCCTTGGGATCGCTAATGTGGTTTTGGAACCTGGAGTACATAGCTGTCGTCTGCTGGCTCTTGGGGATAATCTCGGTGTCACGCTCAGCTTTGCAAGATCCAGGGCCCGTGCTTTCCCTGTGCTGGTGCAGGTTCGGCGGGCGGCGGCGCTGGCGCTGTCGCGAAACCTCTCCGTGGGGTTCAGGTGGATCCCGAGTGAGTTCAACAGCTCCGACAAACCTTCAAGGGACCCCGGTCTGCATCGGGGGGGCACGGTCGAGTTGAGCGTCACTCCTGATATACGCCGTCTTGCTCGAGAACGGCAGTGCCCTGTAGCCGTTTTGGCCAAGCATGAAGTCCCACCATGATCTACCTCTTTACTTGATTGGGCTCATCATGTCCTTGGTGAGGAAGGCCAAGAGAGCAGCTCCGGCGGAGGAGAGGGAAGTTCGCGTGCTTTTTCGTCGTACGGACCCGCTGCCACTAGAGAAGAAGTGGCAAGCTACTTTACAATAGCGACGCGATCGCCTCCCCTTGCCCGTGCTGCTGGAGGAGGCGGAGAGGGACGCCAGCCGTCTGGAAGCTTCGGACGGCACGACCTCGGAGGAGGATGGCAACCCGCTCGTGCAGGATCGCGTGCCGAGGCGCAAGATCCATCATGCGAAGATGGCAAAAGAGCCAGGTATGAAGCACGTTTCGGTGCTAGAACGAAGCTCGTTAGGAGAGCGAACCTGGGCGCAATATCGAAAGCTATGTCGAGGCCTGGTGGACTACGTCGACGAGCGCAAGCTGAACACCGACAAAGTGCAGGACTTCGACGTGGCCATCGTCGCCTTCATGACCATGTGCATGCTGGGCTACGACGCGGGCATCGGCCAGAAGTTGATCGCGGCCGTGGTGTTCTTCCAACCTCGTTTTGGCAAGCTAGGCGACCTTTCTCTTCCGCGAGCCTGGCGGGCTGCCAGGGGCGGGGCCAAGCTGGACCCACCGCGCAGTCGACAGCCCTTGACCCTGCCGGCGGTCGCAGGGTTGGCCGCCCTGCTGGCCTACGAGGGGCGCCTGGACATGGCCATCTGGGCGATCGTCGCTTTCTGCACCTACCTGCGCCCAGGCTCTACAATGCAGCTCGCCAGGGGCTCGCTGGTCCCACCTGCCATGAAGGTCGACACCATGTGGCGCGTGCTCGCACACAGGTCAGACCTCCACCAGGTCTCGAAGGTGGGAACCCAGGACGACACCATCTTGTGGGACAAACAAGGTTTTGAATGGATGGGCGAAGTTCTTCAGGTTCTAGCCGTCGGAAAACGAAATGAGAGCTTCTGGCAGTTTACCTATCCAGAGTTAGTACGTGAAATTCGTAAGCAAGGCCGACTGCTCGGCCAAGATATTGTACCTTACCAGTTGCGCCATGCGGGCGCTTCTTGGGATATGTATATATATACATATATACACATATATATATAGCATCGCAACCTGTACGAGGTGCAACGTCGCGGCGGTTGGACGTCTACCAAATTGTGCAGCGCTGCGAGAAGTCAGGCATGATGATGAAAGACTACGCTCTGCTTCCCCTGGCGCTGCGCTGCTGGCTGGGGGAGCAGGTAGACGCGCTCAAGGGCTCGATTCTCAGAGGCCGCGCGGTGCAGCCGCCGCCGCCGCTTGCTTTCAGTGCCCGTGGCAAGCGTGTAGCTACTCCTCCCAGCGCAGCAAGGTAGGTGTCACATCCTGTTCTGGGTGATATGGGTGAAGTGTGCGCCGCCGTGCCTCTGCTCACCCACGCTCGCGTGCAGTCAGACTCCAGACGGCGCTGGCATCAGACACCAGGAAACTCATAAACAGAGCGCGGGGGGATCATGCGAGGTGTACGTGAATGATCTACGCGCGCTCGTAATTAGTCTTTCGGCTCCCCGTGGCCCTACCCAAGCCGTTTTCATTCTTTCACATCGGGTGAAGTGTGCGCCGCCGTGCTTCTGCTCACCCACGCTCGTGTGCAGTCAGACTCCAGACGGCGCTGGCATCAGACACTAGGAAACTGATAAACAGAGCGCGGGGGGATCATGATGATGATGGTGATGATGATGGTGAGTTACGATGGATGATGGTGCTGGTGATGACGGACATGGCACGATGATGAGTGCTGATGATGACGAGTGCTGGTGGCGCGGTGTTGACAATGACGATGCTGATGCTGATGAGTGAGTGAGTGAGTGAGTGAGCGTCTGAGTGAGTGAGTGGGTGAGTGAGTGAGTGGGTTCTTGTTCCAGCGCGGGGTGTCCAGAGAAAACAAGAAGCCCACTTTGGATGTGGGGAAAAACAGGTAGAGCAAAACGATCAACAAAGCCCAGCCCTGGGCGATTGGACCGCCCCGGAGGCCCCTGCGAGAAACCTCTGCGCCGCCCACAGCGCCCGGGAATGTCGTGGCCCGGGCCTTTTAAGATCTTGACGGCTCCTCCATTACATCAGCCCATCAGAGTTGCATGGCCCTCGGGGCATTCCACTACGTGCCGAAGGCACGATGTTGTCCGTATATTTGTTTACACCCACGTATATATATATATATACACACATGTGTAAATTTGCATGGGGATATGTACATATCTACGAGTATATAGAGAGAGAGAGAGAGATTTATGCACACGCCCATACACGTATCTGCATGCATACATATCCACATTCGTATATGTGTAAATCTGTACCAATAGCTGAAAGCACACATACGTACACATCTCTCTATACATATATATATATATATATATATATATATATATATCCATATATATATATATGGATGTGCATGCACATGAGTCGTAAAATGTACACGCTGCGTGCGCTTTGATATGACCCCCCCTCGCGCCCGAATCCGCCCGACGAGGCCGCCGAAGTCCGCCAGCCCCGCGGGCCCGTTCGTCCCCCGGCGTGGCGCCGCCCTCCCAGGCTGCCGGCCCCATCAAGGAGGATGGCAGGATGAGGAGGAGGAGGAGGTGAAGGAGGAAGAGGAGGGGAAGGAGGGATGAGTAAAAGATGGAAGAGGACGAGGACGAGGACGAAGGGGAGGAGGAGGAGGAGGAGGAGGAGGAGGAGGAGGACGAGGACGAGGACGAAGGGGGGGACGAACGGGGGGCGGAAGAGGAGGGGAAGGAAGGATGAGTAAAAGGAGGAGGAGGGGGACGAGGACGAAGAGGAGGAGGAGGAGGAGGTGAAAGAGGAAGAGGAGGGGAAGGAATGATGTCTAAAAGATGAAGGAGGACGAGGACGAGGACGAGGAGGAGGAGGAGGACCAGGAGGAGGAGTCCGCAGCCATTTTGGCTCGCGCAAGTTGGACTCAGGCCGTGTTCGGGATTCAGCGTCCGAGCTCAGGGCTTCGCTTGGCCAGTGTCTGGCATCCTGGGGCCCCAGAGGTGACTACCCAGTCAGTGGTGACCCAGCTGCGGCCACATCTTGCACGCGCTGCCAGTCCGATAGAAAACGTGTTTGCGCGTCAGTTTGCAGAAATCAAGCTGCCTCTGTTATGGGGCGGGACTCGTGGCCATGTCACACGCGCAACATTCGCAGTCCCACTTGTGTCTGGCATTGCCCATGTCGGACTGTATCGCGCAAAACAGGCAGATCTCAAAGTCAGAGGCCCAAGACTCGTCCGCGTTCCACGTCTCGCAGTGCACCCCACAATGCGGGGAAGGGAAAAGGAACCAAGAGATCTGGAACAGGACCGTCCGCCAAAAGTCTCTCCCAGCCCAATGTCAAGTTCCGATAAACAGTTTGGTGACCCAGTCTATCACCAGCAAAGCTCCTCTTGTTGACGGGAAAGCGTCGGCGGCGCATCCTTGATGTTCGGTGCCTCCGCGGACTCCCTTGCGTTCAGCGGTATGCAAGAGAGACCTGGGGCACTCTTGATGTGTCTCCGCGATCTTTGTAGTGACGACGAGACAAGCAGGTTTGGACAACCCGCAACCAATGGCAGGGATAGCCATTGTCACAGCTTTCTTGGCGCAACTCGAGCGACTAGGACAGCGCATCGCCAAGCTTCAGGCTCGGCAGCTGAAGTTGTAGACTCTCCCCAATACCATAATGGAGAAGATAGCTATCATGATGGCCGGGCAGCGACACGCTGATTTGGGTTGCGCGGGCGCATGTGGTCACAGCCATTTGTCAGGAGGGAAAGAAACACACAGACACACTTAATCGGCGATTCCCCAGAAAATATGGGAAAATATGGGAAGTGGGGGGGAAGACAGACACCCAGAAAATAGAGGAAAAATATGGGGAATCTGTTCATTTCTGAGTATTTGTTTGTGTCCTGGGGCCCCTTCAATTTGGGCCTTTGGTGGAGCTGCCTATGGGGCCACGACGTGCCGCCTGCTGCACCGCGTGGCGCGGCGCGCGGGGTGGTCACAGCAGCGGGGGCCCTTCGGTGGAGCTGCCAAGGGAGCCACACAGCGCTGTGCTTCGGCGGCGAGCGAGGGGGGGGAATTGAGAAGGAGAAGGCCTTCTCAGAAGGCGGCGGTACTTCTCAGAAGCCCTCGCGCCTTCTCAGAAGTTTTTTCTGTCTTCGGGGAAGGCTTAGAAAACTTCTCAGAAGTCCAGGGAACTTCTGAACCTTCTGAGAAGGTACGCCCCTTCTCACTTCCCCCCTGGCTCGCCGCCTAGTGTTGGGTGGCGCGGTCGCATGTGGTCACAACCCGTTGGGCCTCCGGTGGAGCTCAGTACGGGGCCACGAGTCGCTGTACTGGGTGGCGCGGGCGCTTCTTGTCACAGCCGCTGGGGCCCTCGGTGGGGCTCCCTGTGGGGCCACGAAGCGCTGTGCTGGGTGCTTCGGGCGCGTGTGGTCACAGCAGCGGGGGCCTTCGGTGAAGTTCCTTCTGGGGCAACGATGCGCTGTTTTGGGTGGCGCGGACGCTTGTGGTCGCAGCCACTGGGGCCTTCGGTGGGGATCCTTATTGGGCAACGAGACGGTGGACTGGGTGGCGCGGACGAATGTGGTCACGCAGCTACTGGGGCCTTCCGTGGACCTCCATATGGGGCCACTAAGCGATGTACTGGATGGCGCGGACCAGTGTGGTCACTGCCACTGGGGCCTTCGGTGGACTTCCTTATGTGGCAAAAAAAGCGCTGTATTGGGTGGCGCGGACGCATGTGGTCACAGCCATTGGGGCCGTCGGTGGAGATCCCTTTGAAGCAATGAAGCGCTCTACTGCGTTGCGCGGGCGCATGTATTCACAGCCATTGGGGCCTTCGGTGGGGCTCCCTTTGGGCCCACGAAGCGCTGTGCTGGGTGGTTCGGACGCGTGTGGTCACAACGGAGCGCTGTATTGGGTGGCGCGGACGCATGTGGTCACATCCAGTGGGCCCTTTCGGTGACATCTCTCAAGAGGTCACGCAGCGCTGTGCTGTGTGGCGCGGGCGCATGTGGTCACAGCCACTGGAGCCTTCAGTGGGGCTCCCTTGCGGGCCACGAAGCTCTGTACTGGGTGGCACGGACGCACGCGGTCCCAGCCATTGGGCCCTTCGGTGGAGCTCCTTGTGGGGCCACGAAGCGCTGTACTGGGAATTGCAGAAGCACCTGGTCACAGCCACGGGTGCCTTCGGTGGCGCTCCTTCTAGGGCTGTGAAGCGCTGTACTGGTTGTTGCGGGCGCACGTGTTCACAGCCATTGGGGCCTTCGGTGGAGCTCACTGTGAAGCCATGACGCGATGTGCTGGGCGGCGCGGGCGCATGTGGACACAGCCGCTGGGCTTTTGAGTGAGTTTCTCTTCGGGGTAGAGAAAGGTCTATTGTCTACTGTGTGGTGCGAACGCATGTGGTCATCACCGCTGGGACCTTCGGTGGACTTCCTTATGAGGCAAAGAAGCGCTGTATTGGGTGGCACGGACGCATGTGGTCACAGCCATTTGGGCCTTCGGTGAACTCCTTATGGGGCCAGTGCTCTATTGGGTGCGTTGAAATGGTGGAGACGCGGAGAGCAGAGGTAAGGGTGGGAGGAGGGGGGAGGAGGAATGAAGACCTACCACCACAGGACGGTTGGGACACATCAGCGCGGACCGCCGAGCTCTGTCGTGTTTGTTTGTGGTTTCGCTTGTGCTCCTTCGAGAATCGTGCATGATCTCCCCCATCCGTGGTTTCCCTCTTCCCCGGCGTCGACGCCTCCTCCTGTTGTTTCTAGTAGGACGTCTATCCAGAGACGAAGCCGACATTCCCACTTGTAACTACGGAGTGCGGCATGTAAGTCGTTGGGCGATTAATTGTCTTCAGGTCACGATTGCAATTTGCGCAGGCCGCTCAGAAGCGGTCTTTCGTTGACGAGCAACGTAGACACACACACACATATATATATATACATATATGCATACATATATATATATATATATATATATATATATGAGCACACATCTATAAAGCAATGTGTCCTTGCTTGTCGGCGAGGATTGGCATCCCCAGAGAGTGCCGACAGGAACACACTCTCAGACCGTATTGCGTGACGCACTGTTTTGTGTTGGTGTTGGTTTTGAGCCTGCATATGGTGGCGGGGTGCAGCGCTGACTCCCCCCTCCCCCTCTCTGCCTCGTTGGTTTAAGGCACGCGTGTCCTACTTATTGGTCAGCGTATGCCTGCACGCCCCCCCTTGGAGAGGAAAACGATCGCCCCATCCTTAGACTCACCCTTACATTCCATCCTCCACCATTCCTTGATACAGCTTGCGACGAACAATGTAACGTCATCACGTTGTTGTCGATTCGTCGCGTCGCCCGCGCATCATCTCTGTGATAAGTGTGCCCGTTCTTTCCACTGTCTCTGAGTAGTCCGCTCTCTGCGCGCGGTCGTCTCTGGAAGCCCTCTCTCTCTTTGTCTCGGTCTCGCGTTCGGGCGCTGCCCTCAGCGCAGGTGGGCAATTCGTTTTGGCGCAGCCCGCCTTCGTATCCTCGCAGCTGTGGGGCTGCGTCGCTGGCGGAGGGAGGAGCAGTGTGTGTCTGGGGGGGGGCGTGCGCGCGCCTGGACGGACGGAACCTGCGTGCGCCCCTGCGCCCGCTGGTTGTGAGAGCAGGCTGGGGAGTCCGGCTGGACGCGGCGGGCGCGACGGGCTTCGTCGATCACAGTGGGTTGGTGGACGGCGCGCAGACAGTCCAAAAGGCGGAACTCACCACGGCGGTGCGCGCGCTGAGCCTGGCCGGGAGGCCGGTTGACGTCACCGACTCCCGTTTCATGAGCCGCGGGGTGGCGGCCATCCGCGACGGGGCCAATCCTGCGTAGCGGGCGCACGCGGATCTGTGGGAACGCGTTGCCTCGCACTGCCGCAGCGGCGCCCTGCGCGCGCGGTGGGTTCAGGCGCGCTTGGACGCTGCAGCGGCCCGCGAGCGGGGAGTCTCCCCGGAAGACCACGCCAGCAACGCGGCCGCAGACCGCCTGGCGCCGGCCACGCGGCGGGGGCCCGCTTGCCAGCTCGCGCGTTGCTCCTGGAGCGCGCGCGGGGGCTAGACGCGCTTGCAGCCGTGCGGCGGGTCATGGCGGGCCAACTACGGCGGCGGCGCCAAGCGGCGCGCGCCCCGCGTGGGCGACGACGCGGCGGTGGCGGCCGCCGCGGCCGCCAGGGCGCAGGCTCCGCAGCCCGCCCGGCGCCCCGCGGCGGCGGCGGGGGCAGCCGCGGCCAACGCCCCCGTCGCCGGCAGCGCGTGGCGGGGCGGCCGGGCGCCGACCGTGCAGCGGCTGGCTGGCCGGCCCTGCCGCGGCTGGGCCCCGGCGCTGCCGCCGCGCGCCGCTGCTCTGCTTCTGGCGCCGCCGGCTTGGGCGGGCGGCGCGGGAGCCGCGTGGCGCGAGGCGCTGCGACTGCGGCTCGCGGCACTGCGCGCGCCCGGGCGCGCCGGACTCATCAATGGCAAGTTCCCCCTCCCCTCCC